GTGAGGATATCTCAGAGTACCATATGTATTATTGTTCTAATCTATGTTAAAAATAAATAAGTTTTTCTAAAGAAAGGAAAACAACAGATGTTTTTATTAATTTCATAATATAGAAGATAGTAAAACTTACTGTCATAGCACAGAAGCAACTGCATTCCTTTGGAATTTGGAAGTGTCACAATAATCTGGGGTGTAATGGGACTCTGGCTCTGAAATTTATGAGACAATAAGTTTCAAGTGTACAATGTAACGATCTATATACAACAGATCAATCACTTTTATACATCAGTACGTTTACTGAAGTTCAGGGGTAAAGTTCTAATATTTACAGAATCATCCAGAGCATGATAAATACCTAGTATAACATAACTTCAGATTCATCCAGAGTATGATTATTAATTATACTTGTTACAAGACATTACACATGGTCTGTTATATTTTTTTATTTTAACACTACATTCTTAATCTAATTTCTTAAGGATTTTCAAGAATTAGGAGAGTGCACAATATACACACATTATGTTCCTCGTATCCATTGCTGACAACATGTGATTGAAATACTATTATTGTACACTCTCCTAATTCTTGAAAATCCCTAAGGGACTAGATTAATAATGTAAATTTAAAAAAATAAATAACTGGCCTAGCATAATGTCTTATAACAAATATAATTATTTAAAATAATGCTTTGCCAGCTTGCAAATATTTATATATATCAATCTACATGGCAATCAGGAGCGTCATTTCAGTCAAACACATATTTAAAAAAACTGAACTACATGATGATTCTGTTTGTCAAAACAGAAACTCGACAATCAAAGCTGCCATTTCATGTCAATTCAAAAATCCCTACATGGTTTAAACAATGATTTTGACTGGCATCTAACCTGTGTTCAATTTTTGTCAGAAATCTACAAAATATATATATATATCCTATTAGTGTAATTAAGCTGCTGTGCCAATGGTAAGCCTTTCATTTAGCAGCTAATATTGTAAATGACTGTTATTTGTCACAAAGGTTGCAATAAATGTATTTGTTTACTTTATTTTTAATTCTCTAGACAAACAAAATATTTCGGAGTAGGCCTAAACTACATTACTTAGCTCAGCCCAGGAACTCAGACCTATATTCTTAACTTGCTGGACACAAAATATTTTGGAGCAAGTCTAAAATACATTATTCAGCTCAGCCCTGGAACAGAAACCAGTCTGGGAAAATATACATTTCTTGAAAGAATAAACTGCCACAGTAATATTATGCATTTCAAGTCATTATATGCAATGAATAAACTTTTACTAAATTGTTTAAATTGTTACTTATCCTACCACTACAGTTTTTGAACCCTACAAGACAAAAACTACTAAATATCTGTAACAAGCTAGCTACTACATTTTCTAGTTTATTATGAAAATATCACTCCTAGTACTTACATGAGATGGAATGTAGACATCATACACCCCACCCGAATCCACATCCACTGCATGGAAACCTTCTGCTGAGCCATAAATGACTTTCAGCCGCACACCTTCCTCGATTGTCATGTCTATTAGCAGAGGACGGTGAATCAGGTCGGGAAAGGATTTGAAGGCCATGAACTTGTGGTAAGGCTTAGGAGCCCAAGCATAAATTTCAACACTTTCTCGTAGAGCTATGACCAGAAACTTGATTCGTTCATATTTCACTACAAACACAGAAATGGTTTGTTAGCAACAAATCAGATTATATGGGAGCTGAGAGGAAAAGTATTTTGAATCATGTACTTACAAACAATAAATTTATTATCTGTATATTTTAACACATTTATCTTAATACAAACTTGCTACATGTGTTAGAATAATCTGATAAACACACTATTATACATATATTAGAAATTATTTTATTTTATCTAGATCAATTTTAACAATTTTGCAAATCATGGCTGAATATTTTTTAAGCTACTATGTCTGTCTGAGATGTAAGAATGATTCGCCTCAATGTAAAATTGATAATAAAAAATGTATTCTCACTTTGATCAGACAAATCTTTATTGATGAAAATCTAACACCAATAAGTTAATACCAAAATTTGGTATATAAGGTAAGAAAATAAAATACTACAAACTAACATCCACTCTTTAAAAAGTCTGCTCATTTACACTTAAAAGCCGAGCATATTATCTTGATTGCAAATAACTCCTTTATTCAAAGTCTTCACTAGCAGCTGAGAATGAAATGTTTTCTTTTGAAATGAGAGTGTCGTGATATTCCTGTAAAGTGTTAAGCTATGTATATAAAACTGCTGAATGTCCACTAATACATTAACAGACATCTGGTGGTACAGCCAATGTAGCCTTTTGAATAATGTTTTGGTAAATTATTAGTGGTTTCTGCATGAGAACAGATCTTGCAATCTTGATAAACTAATGAATACATGTCCAAATCTAATTTATTTCTGTAGCAGGGGCTTCATTGTATAAATAGATGGAAGGTCAATCTTTGGTGTAAATTGCAATATTGGCTCTATTATTGACAATTGCTACCAGTCATTGATACATATGATGTGAAAGAGACCACTAATCATCTTACAAAGTACAGTTCTAAAGACCAAGAAACTCAAGCACTTTCTAATAGTTGACTATTCCTCATCAGGAGAAGAAGAAGAGTCAAATATTTGAAAGTTCTTGAGTTTCTGGGTGTTAAAAACTGTACTTGATTTTTTTCAGTGATCCTTTGTTCTAATTCATTCATCATGTGCCATCTTTCAAAGCAGCTCTAACAGAGGCTTCAGAACTGAGGGTGCTGTAGCACCCTCACTTTTACATGTTTGACTTGTATAGCAACTGTAAGTTATATTATTATTTTAATTTGGGGGGCATACCCCCAGACTGAGCTGCCTATGGCAGCATGGAAGCTGCCTTTAGCAACTTCTAGTACTTTCAATCTCTCATTGTAAAATCTGCATATCAAGCCATGCACCCCCACTTTGCAACTCTTTACTACACCACTGTCTAAGTATAATGAGCTTTCGGGTGTCATCCTTTCTGTCCCTTGAGCATCATTCCACAAGATACCAGAATGATTCAACTGGATTCAAGTCAAGGCTATTTGTTTCAAAGCACTGTTGGACAAAATATATTCAGTTTTACATCGTACAGTAACATACTGAAAGAGTTATGGTCTTTCCTCACAAATTTCATCATCCAATGTATTACAATAATACAAGATATCCATGGCTCCCTTAATTGCTACCAATAAACCAATTTAAAACTAGCTATAAACAAACCCACACACTGATATTCTCCCAACTATTGTTTTGGTTATAATATCCCAATAACAGCCAAAGAAGTTTCCAGGTTTTTTAACCCAATAAACCCAGACCTGTTCATCCAAACCAAGCATTAACTAACATGATACATCACTCCATATGATGGTTTTTCTTTTTTCTCTGATTCTTGATGCTTAACGCACAACAGCAACAAATACTTTGCATTCATAATTGTAATTAACAGCTAATAAATTAGCAGCAATCAATCCAAGAAATTCAGCAGAAAGAGCTTCTTATACATAAAGAATGTGAACTGTCATTAAAGTCCACTATTTTTGTATTAAAATGTGTTTAAAAGCTTGCATATACAAAGGAGTGATTAATTTTGAGCAGCTAAACAAATATTTCAGATTTGCTCATACACTTGTCTTTCACTTCTTTAGAATATTGACCACAATGGGTTTGTGTATAGGCAAAAAAGTTGAATGGTCTTGGACATTCATTCCACAAAACCTGAATTCAAAAACACTCCTCTTTAAAAGCCCATGACCTTGTTTCCTCAACGCACCATTGCTCAAAGTGGCTACCTGTGGTTTCTGCTGACTTTTATAAACCCTATCATAGGACTTTCATGCATTTTAAAGGGGTATATATATATAACCTACAGTACTGACTTTGTATACTCTATAAAACTAACGATGGTCACATTACAATAATCAAATTATTTTCTAATGAAAACTACTCAGAAAGCTGTGGTGTGGATCAACTGTACTTATTTAAATGAAAATTGTTATCAAAACTCAATAAGTCAAGAAATAGATTCTATATTACATTAAGTTTACAAAAGAAACTAATTAGCAGAAAGATTAATAATTGGGAAGGTTACCAGGATTTTTCTGTAACTAATAAATACTTCATTATCCACCTTAAATATGTGATGAAGTCCATGTTGAAACTAGTAAGCCATATATAAATTTTCTATTGTCCTTTCAATTTGATTTCAGAGATATATGACATATTTCTTAATCTTCTTTAAGATAAACTTATGATAGATATCTTAAAAATTAGGATATAGCCTACGCTATGGAAAAGAAATTGTACCATCATGTGTTTCACAGTTTTTATTATTATCAGGAAGATGTTTTAAACTGGAACAAAGTAACTTTAATTTAATAAATGAAAGATAACTTGGCAACTGGAAAGAGTAAGTTACTTCAGTGTTGGCTGGTAAATGTTTTAAGTACTCACAAAAACTTGGGAATTAACCACTATAACACTAACTCAGCAAAGAAACTGTCTAAGTATGCATTTTATATACGAAGAAAAAAAGATTTAACTTTGTTTAAGGCTATATATCAGTATCTCAAGTTCATTGTATAAAAGAATATTTGTATCAGTATAACATCAATTACAAAACCATTAACTTTGGTAATAAAACCAAAATCCTGATTTTCACATAAAAATGAAAAAATTAAACAGGTTTAAACATATATTAAGCAACTTTTCTTTTTGTTCTAGGTTAAAGAGTTCAAATATAAACAAAAACAATTATATACAGTGTCAATAATGAAAAAAAACAACAAAAACTATGCAGTGGCATTTTATCTATAAATTAAACAAAAAACATTCTTAAAACATTAAAAAGAGAGAAACAGTGCAAACTCTTTATAAAGTCACAGTCAGCATCTTTAAATATGTCATATCAAAAGCACAGAGTAAACAATATATACTAGTGCTGCCACCTTTTCATAAAATAAAATACTATTTTAAACCAATAAAAATGATATACACAACTAGTTTTCTTATCTAATTTCCCCAATAATAATTTTTTCTTAATCAATATAGTTTTTAACCTTCACTAACACAACCTGTACATTTTCATAAAATAAAGTTTCTGATATGAAAACTTGAAACTTAAAATTCTCTTTGCTATTAAGATATACTTGAGAAAAAGTTTCAAAAAAGCGGAACAAAATACAAAAACGTGTTAGAAAAAAAAGGAGACATGCTTTTAGTGTGAAATAAAGATATTAAAACAGAGTCACAACAGACCATGCAGAATGAATAATTTTATGCAAATTATAAAGATATCATTTCTCTTAAGAAAATCATGGATTTTTACCATTGTTACTCCAAATACGAAATGTATTTTCCCAGTCCTTAAAGCTGTGATGAGGGATAGACCACACCACTTGAGCAGCACAAAAAAGGGGAAACAAAGGTGGATTTAATATATTAGAGCAGGGTGGAGGATTTTGGTATCAAACTACAGGATTTAAATATATGTTAGTTTCCTGAAATATGTTGCAAATTGTCTATCAAACTTTCACAACATGCATAACCTGCATAAAAAACATGAAAATTATTTTTGGGATTTAGATGAGACACAACACGGCATTAATTATAGCTGAAAAGTTTAATATGGAAACAACGTCATGGTAACATCAATTCTTTCCTTTACATTACAATACTCCTCTTTTCATAGCATTATAGATATTTCCCCAAACTATTAATGATTATGTTCAACTAAGTTTCAATGTTTTGGTTGTTCTTTAGTATTTTTCATTTGACCCTAGTACTCTATAAATTCAACAATAGTATGATTTCATAACAAGCAAATTTTTTCCCTTTCTTTAAAAGTAATATAACAACAACAATGCATTATCATCCATGTCATCCTACGCTCACACGTAAAACCTACAGAAATGGCTGATGGACATTTAAGGTTATTTCTTTGGGTTTCATGCTGTTGTTTCACTATTGTTTACAATAAAACTATGAAATCAATTAAATTAAAACATCTAATTGCACCAAAATCTTAGATTTCATTTTACAAAAAAAGTTTAAAACTGGCAGTTTTACACATAGAGAAGTGTAGTCAATCACGTTACTGGATCCCACCTCCTCCTTTTTCGCAAGTTCTAAGTTATTGAGATAAATACGGTAATCATAATTAAATGACAATAATATCACAGGAACAATTTTCAAAATGGCCCATCACTATACTTAGCTAATATTTTACTGAAGACAGACAGTACATTGTATATGCATCCAAAAGTGAAATACTTAATGTAAAAGATCAAATCATTAAGTTTCACATAAACACGGTTACATTTTAATCGTTTATTATTTTTATTAGCATAGTAGTTTTTCTTGACAAATCGACAAAATGAGTTGTAGTATTTTGTTAAACCAAGGTTCTAAAGGATTCTTGCTGTTTGACATTTAAGTTTAAGCATTTAGAAATCTTAATTATTATTCAAGAAATGGGACTACACGTACTTAAGTTGAAAAATACACGTATACATGGAATGAAGTAAGATTTTCAGAGGAAAAATATGAGTGAGTTAAAAAAATACGACAAAAATTATTAGCAGTCTTCTCTTAATATTTCTAGTTTAAATAGAGATGTTCAAACAAGGATGAATGCCAAGACTCCACAGCATTTTCTTTTATCACTAATGGTTTTCTGTGTGGTGACTATGGTTACAGACTGTTCTTTTCCAGCACAATTTTGACTATAGAGGCTTCCATTTGTTTAACCCAAAAGTCCAGATGTTCAGAGAAGATGCATTGGTATAGAATGAAGTCTTGTTTCTACATGTATCTTGTGAAGGAACAGCCATGTTGGTTTGGTCAAGTGGCTGGATGCTTTGTCTTGATGGAACTATATGTTATTCACATCTATACATATACAAATATGGTATTTCCTCATGGTACAGTGGTGTCAGGATAACATGCATGATTCACCTTGATTTTTTCTTGAGTTTTTATATGTTTAAACTGCATCCACCATAAATCCATTAGGCATACTTTGTACCATATGGTGTATATTAAGATGTTGTATTACTAGTAGGTTCATTCAATCCAATGTGTTTGTCACATGCCAGATACTGCTCATACAACTTTCAGTAGGCAGTCTTGGGTTTGGTTACATGTTTTGGGAGATCATAAACACAGCTTTCATCACTTTTGTAGACTTAAATCTATGTAAATTATCCTGTTTTTAGTTCCAATTTCTACATTTGCTACAATGGGCCATTGTATTCTTGGGACAAGCTGTTAAATTGTCTTCACTACATACAGTATGAGACTAATAGGTGATTGAACAGTAGCTTACTAAAATCAAGTCTTCTGCTACTTTAGCAATATGATTCAGTTATCATTTTCTCTGAAACACTACAATTTTGTATCTTATATGCATATATGTAACACATAATAGGTGAACTTTGTGCCAGAAACTCTTGCAATGTAAATCTCACAAAAGGGGTCAATTTTAGGTATCATCTGTACTTGCAAATCAAACACCAAGAATTTTAATGAGTCTAATCAAGGACCACAGGGATTACCCCATGTTACCACAGATTCTGAAAAACCCTCTGCAAAATATTTCATTCTTCAAGTTAGGTATATATTTTTTTTACTTTAAATCATCTTTATTTATCATGACGAAAATTGTTAAAAACATGTAAAATGGATTTTACAATTACAAAATAATTTTCTTTTTCTTGACATAAAATTAAAATGGTTTTAGAAAGTGTTAAGGAAGAGAGAGAGAGAAACACGAACTAGTACTAAACGCATTATTTTCTAAGAAATTTGGAAATTTGTTAAATCACACTCACCAATTTTGAAATGAACAGCACCCTGGAGATCTCCTACATTTATCCACCCATTTCTTCTTTCTAACTGCTGCAGTACAAAAAATTAAAACCAGTACTCAATACAGCACTTTACAATAACACAACTAAATAATCTCTCAAACTTAATTTAAACATTACTTTCCACCACTTGTTTTTGAAAATGAACTCACCCACTAACAGTTTGTAGCTGAATACATTTTAAGCTAACACTGTAGACATTAGCCCTGATGACGGTAACTGCGTTACCAAAACTAGTTGCCTATAAGTAATAAATATGTTACCTTTCATTGTGTCAAAAAATGTTGGATTTTGTGTTTTTAACTCTTAATATAGTAGCACAATGTGCCTGAAAAGAAATTATACTGCCAGTGGCTCTAATCATAACATGTTACTGAAAAGCAGTTTTATGTTACTTGAGGAAAAGTAAACTCACTAAAACAATAAAAAAAGGAATAAAAATATACAAAATTCTATACAAAATTTAAATTGTTAGACTTTTATATCTAAATATAAAATCAGACTCAACTGTCATTATTGATATCTTAAAATATCAAGTTATGCAAAACTAAGAAATCTGTTAATATTTTTATTACAATGGGTCTATTGTTTAGTCAATTAGCTAATGTTTTTAACAGAAATACAATTCAATCTTATGTAATGCAAAAGGAAAAAAGGTGAAACTTTGATGGAATTTGCTAACTTAATCAAGAACTATCTATTACTAGATTAATATTTCACTTTTAATATTTACAGTTTTAAAGCTTATGAATGTTGGATATATATGATGAAAAACTTGCCGTTAATGAAATCTATGGATTTTGAGAAATAATTTTTAGAAATAAAGTTTAAAATTTGAACCAGTTTTATAAAATTTCATTCTACGATGTAAGTCTTTGCAATGGGTAGAAAGCATATAAATTGTAAATATTCCTATTTCTTTTTAGACAATAACTGAATTAAAATTGGTACAATACTAAAAAAATATATACAAAAAACATCAGCATATTCAATAACTGTACACTTCAACATCTAATAACTTTATATGACACTCATCAATATAGATGTCAAATGACTATAACATTATTTTTCTTTTATATGTTTGTTGCACATTACACAAACTCTGATTAAAGAAAGATAACGACTAGTTTCATTCATTCATATGATTCTGTGTGTCTAACCAATACCTCAAAAAGAAACAATAAACAGTCCATAAAATTCTATTATTTTTACTATTTTGGAGAAGCATTAATGAATATATTTGTCATAAGTTAATAAAGGCCTTAAAATAATTTTATTTCATAAACTTATTATTATACTTTTTTTTTTCAAGAAAGAAAAAAATTAAATAAAAACATTTTGTGATTTAGGTAGATTTTCTTTTGTTACTAGCCTATATCTGCCACTAGAAGTTAAGAAAGAAAAAAAAGAAGAAGCATAGTAAATAACTTATTGAACTTATGAAAAACTCTAGAAATGTAAAAATGTTTTTTGTTTTAATTTTTCTTATTAGAAACAAGCAGTTATTAGTAATAAAAAGAAACCTAACTTACTCCATCTGTCCGAAGAATCTTGCTCTTGAGCCAAGATAGATAGTAAACACGAACACGAGATTTCCTTCCAGAAATGGTTACTAAAATGTTTTGGCCTTCAGAGACTTCCATTTGATGAAACTTTCTCCTAGTGATTAGGTTGTACACTTTTCCTTGCCCACTACGGTCCAGTAGCATTAAGCCATGTTCCGTTCCTATCAACAGGTTGACACCTACAAAAGTAACAAAATTAATTACGGAATAATACACTTTTATCTAAGTAGCTGATAAAACATATCATCAAACATCATAAAGTGTATAACAGTAATTTTTAATTTCTTGCTAGTTGGTATGGTGGTTATTTGCAGATTTTACACTTGAGGGGGAAAAAAAGGTGTCAAGATGTAATACTATTAATTGTAATTCAACATCCTGTTGAGTATAATTAAATCCAAATATCCAATAATAAGAACATATCTTACCCCAGAGAGCAGCACAAAGTATTTCAGAATTAAATCTCTTTTTGTATTTGCGAATTTCAGGGGTTTCAGTGGAGGACTCATGTGTACTAGGTGCTACATTAACATTGATGTGTGATTCACGACGAGGAGAAGGAGATGAGCCTGACCCTCCTGCTCCAAACCCAAAAGTCAAGAAGGAACGTTGTTTTTGTTGTAAATGAGGAGGAGTTTTGCTGACTGCCTGCCGGTACTGGAAACATAAAATTTTAAACATTACCTCATAAACCAAAAGAAACATATATATTATTGAAAAAATATACAAACACAAGCAGCTTGTTTAACAAAGTCTGTACAAATTAGTTCTTAACAGTTCTGAATACAACTAAAAATCAAACAGTACAAATCTTTGTATTATTTTTTACAGACATGTGAAGACGAAATTGCTAACAATTCAAGGAAAAACTCTTAGACAAAATAACTAAATATTAACAATAACAATGAAATTGATATTTTAAATATTACAAGATTAACTTAAGTCATCAATGGCAGTAAAGTTATGACCAAATATTTTGTATTTTTGTAAATTAAATGGATATTTCTTAAAATATTCCATGTTTTGACACCACAGCAGTTGGTATCATCTTCCTCCCTTTCAGATTCTATCTTGAGAATAATCTACCTGAATTACAGTAGCATTTTTTGCTTCAAATTCCAACATTTCCGGTAATTGATAAAAAAAATCTAATTAATAGACAAAACTTGTGTTTATTTTTCTTCCGTGGTTGATTATTCCAACATTAACTCAAAAGCATTGATTCAGTTAATATTGAACATCAAAATGTAGTTCTTTTAGTACTCTTGAAACTTCATAATTAACATTACTAACAATTTATTCTCTCTATTTGTTTTGTATATAGTGTTTTTGGTTTTACGCATGCCAGTTCAGAATATTTCATTCTAAATTAGTTAACTTGAGATGGGGGAAGAGACCAAATATTCTTGTCAAGACTATTCTACAAGCATGCTTGATTCATAAAAATCTGGAATTATAAAAGGGGAAAATATGAATTGCTAACTCTTGAATTCTTAAAGGAAATTTGAACAAATGTATTGCTTAACAATGCTTAGCAATCAGAAATAGCAAAAATGCTGAATTTATCTGTTCATAATTCTGTGAACATAATAGCACATGTCCATCAAGTCAGCATTAAAAACAGAATTTTTAGAAACCTCTAAGGCATCAATATGAACATAATACTCAGAAGTGGCAATAAAAACCTAACAAATTTCCAAATTGAAGTACTACAAAAATGAAGGAAAGGTGCCGCAGTTTGGTTTCAGAAATAAAAATGAAAGATCCTGATGTTATAACATTCTTAGTGTTTAAAAAAATTAAAGAAGAAACTCCACTTTTGTGAGAGGAACTGTTTATTAAATAACAAAAGAAAATTAGTTTTTTCAGTCAACAACAAAAAATAGTGGAATTTATGTAGTATTCTTAGAATTTGAATTGTACCATAAAGGTAATTACAACTTACACAAAAATGTTTCTGCAATGCCCTATATAAAGAGTTTACTTACATGTAATAAAACTAACTTATTCTGATAATGCAAAATTTTCTTTCTATATGTAGATAATCATTTTTTTTGCTCACTTTAATAAAACATTAAATCATTAATTTGATGCACATGTCTTTTACCCCTCTTGCTAAAGGCTATTATACTGAATTTGTGACCCCAAAGTTTCCATGCTGTAACTTTTAATGTTTTATTATGTATCTTCACAAAACTTGGCACGTTTTTAGAAAACATTACAAGCCTTTTGCACACAAAAAAATCACAATTTTTAATAAAATAATTTTACAAAAAATTTGTCCATGAATATATGAAGTCAAGAGTGTTGACTGCTCTGAGTGCAAAGTGATTTTCATGTTATGATTAAAAATACTTTTATTCACCTGAAAATTGTCAAGTTTCCTTTGTATGATCTCTAAAGCTTTCTAAATAAATATAAAACACTTTTATCAGTCAAACAATATTTTACCTGTTATTTTCTCTACCCTAACTCTACATGAATTTGGTCAATTTGACTGACCTTGTAACCACCATAATAACAAGAAGAAATAAATCTAAATTATTTTTTTTCTTACTAAAATGATAGAAAATTGTAACAGTAAACTACAGTTGTTTATCTCAAATGGCATAATGCTCATAACAGCATACACATGTTTATACTTAAATTTTATTATTCTATTACCCTTTGAACCATGTGTAACTAATAATCACACCACACAAGTTATAAATCACTCGAGAACACATAGTTCAAGTTACAGTATTGAATTACGTAACTCATGTGCTGCTCATGAACATACTTTATGAAAAATTATCATTATTTTCCCTACTAACCTAATAAGTTTTAGTTACTTTTATAATAATAAATAAATAATATACAAGAAAAACAAGAAATATAGTACTTAAAATGGGTCCTTTTATGTTTTTGTTGTCCACTGTCAATGAAAGTTAAGCCTACTATTATATACTAATAGCATGCATAAAGCAATGTTCTATAACTGTCATAATATATATGACATTCTAACTATGCAAAACAAGCCTTTAAAAATTTAACTAAGCTTATTGATGTGAATACTGTGAGAGAAATTTTCAAACTGGAGGCAAAATAAAGAATTCCCTGCACAGAAAATAACATAATATGATACACTGCTTTATGGATTAAACCTTTGGCTTTCTATTGGTTATAAATAATATTGTATAAAATGTCAGAGATAATATATACTGTTTCTCTCAGTAGATATACAACATACCAGGTGTTATCTAAAAGCTGTTAAATCCCTATTATTATGTTAATAGTAATTATACATGTACAATTAGTTTATTCTCTGACTGGCAAATTAATACGTTTTTGAACTGAAATTATTAGAAATTAAGTTTCATTTCCTTCCCTGACACATTCTATAAATATGTCTTAAAATTAATTTTAATGCTATTATAATTCAATTATAAATCCACATCAACAGTTTTGAGTTAATTCTATTAACAAAAATATGGGTATGGATTTACCACGATGCACATAAGAACAAATAAAAACAAAAGATATGTTGATAAGTCAAGGCAAGCCTTTCTTTTTTGATTGTTTTCTTATTTTATCATATAAATTTACAAAGTACAGATCACAATTAAAATATTAAAAAGGACCCAATATTCTTTTTCTCCTTATACCTTTTATTGGTTTGTCAACAAAATACCAACTTAGGAGAAGCTACAAACTTTCAATTGCAATGATTTTGGTCTACAATAAAAAAAACTGCACCTTTCACAATTATAACTTCCTAACTTACCTCATCTGAAGTACTTTTGTCTTGCTGTCTCTGCTGAGGTGATGACTGTTGTAAAGGAGTGGATGTGTTTTGAGGAAGAAGATCAGGAAGTACCCCACTTGATCGTCCACTGATGTTCCCTTGCGAACTCTGTGTGGACTCTGCACGCTGCATAAGGGGTCGACTAGCACCTTCACCAGAAGAGGAAGTTACATGATCTGAATGGTCCCGTTCCCTTTCCCGATCATTCTGGAAAATTTTTTCCATTTATTTTTTATGCACAAAAACAGTGATGAGTTGGTTTTGATGCATAACAATGTCCTTGGTAGGAGATATTGAGGTATATACAGACATGTTTATTTATGTATAGATGGAAGTGTACATAGTAAATCTCATGTTTTACTGCTTCATAACTTACATAGTTTGTCAGACTTTTCTCAGTGTCAGGTTTATATTAAGCATACAGCTGCACAACAGTTACAACTAAGTTGCTGATATAAAGATCAATATGAAATTCATGCACTACAAAAGTTAAAAAGCCAGTAGTAGTGTTTATTTAAAAATATTACATGTAGAACCCAATGCTTTTCATCATAAAAAATATGCAGATTCCTTTGTTAAGGTGTGCCAAATGATAATTCAATCAGTGCAATACATACTAAAATTCAGAATCAAAACAGCATCTATGATGCTATTATGATAAAAAATAAAAACAAACATATCAATTATACATAAACAGACCAAGATTTCTTTGTGTTAGTAACTGCATTCAAATCATTGGAAAATATCATTTATTTATAAAAAAAAATTTTTCAAAACTATTATGAAGAGGGGTATCAAGCTACAACTGAGTTTATTTTGTGACATGTACTTATAGAACAGAAATACACTCAGATAAGAGCATTTCCACTCATAACAGCTTTAACTGATCCTATATGTAACTGCTTATAATTTAAAACACTAAAACTCAGTTACAAAAAACAATACAAGGTGTCCACACATCATTAATTAGGTTCTAAAAGGTCAAATAGCCATGGGCAATCAGATAACATTAGTAGTTGTCATAAATGCAACAAGACATTTTAATATTACATTAATTCAACAGCTCTGGCGTTTATGTTAAAAGGCCATGTGTACAATAGATAATAAAATATGTGATGCTAATAGAAAGTTGAGTATGTATCTATATGTACCAGAAATAGCTTCAATGAATCAGCACTTTCTACTGTTAGTAAGTGGAAGTATTAAAATAAGATAATTAAATTTTGAAGTATCCAGTTTTTCCAATGAATAATATGTGGACACTTAAAAAGGTTGCTGTTAAAATACAGTAACTAGAGAAATTATTACACATAGATTAATGTGCAATTTACCTTAACAATATTTGTTGTTTATTGTGGGTTGTTTGTAAAATATATTTATGTTTTTATAAGCAACTGTAAATTGTCAGCAACTAGAAAAATGGTTTAGAGCTTTCATCCTGAATTGCACCTTACATGCAGATGAATTAACTGATCAGGACAGACACCCCTAGGATCAGGCATGAGAACAAGTAAGGGCCAGCAAGAGTCAAAGGGAAGAAGTGGGCACTTTCAACAAATTAGAATAAAAATTAATAGCTTAATATAAAAGAAATTCATATATTTCTAGTTTATAATACTTGCAAAAGTGAAAAGGTTTTTTTTTCCAACTATGAGCATTGAAAACAATTTTTTACACCTTGGTAAGTTTCTCTGACTCCAGCCTCATCATGTCTTTCAACTTTTGCCATAACATTTTCTCACTTCAAATTCATGCTTTCCTACTCTCACCAAAACAATGCAAGCATTTTCTATATTTTTACACATCAGTAGCTTGATATCATCACATGGGACAACCAAACAAATTTCATTTTACTGACATCCAACTATCTTAACCTGAACTCATTTTTTGTTGGCTAGATATTCTGACAGTTGATTAATTGTAAAAGTTGTACAACAGAAATATGGGAATAAAATAACATTCAGAGTTGTTCCATATGCATTCTACTAAATGACTGACAAGTAACATCATACAATCACAAGAAGACATATAACTTGATTAACTCTAAGTTCCTGATGCAGATCCATTTTTACTGGGAAGGGCTATAAAGAGATATTAGGTCCTCAAGAAATTAATGTCGCTTTTTTTACATGAAAAAAACCCGAACAACTTATTTATCAAAAGAAATAGTATCCATTCTTATTGATGATGCTTTTCCATCTTACAATCCGGTTGTTAATGGCCTGATTAAAGAAATCACTTGGCTTTGAAGCAAAAAACATGTTGATGTTCTCTTTAACACCTTCCACATTTGCATATGTTTTCCAATTAAGATGGTGTTGCAGCGAACAAAAAATATGGTAATCTGATGGTGCCATATCTGGAGAATATGGTGGGTGGGGGAGAGCTTCCCAACCAACTCCATAATCTTGTGTTGTATCAAACGTGCCACATGTGGACATGCATTGTCGTGGAGAAGAACACTTTTCTGATTGATGAGTGAAGGGCATTTCTGATGAAGGGCTTGATTTAAACGTTCCAGTTGCTGACTATAGATCTCTGCATTGACAATTCGCTGTAGATTGAGGAGTTCGAAATGAATTACTCCTTTGATGTCCCACCAAATGCAAAGCGTTACTTTCTGGATGGAGTCCAGGTTTTGGGGTGGGAAAAGGTTTTTGTTTAGGACTTAGTCATTGTTTTTGGCATTTAATATTCACATAGAGAATCCATTTTTCATCACTGGTGACAATTCTGTCCAAAAATGGTTCATGTGCATTACCTGCCAGAAGAGATGAAGCAGCATTTACACGTTGGAAATGAAGATCATCAGAGAGTTCGGGAGGCACCAAAACACTTTTTCTTTTGGATTTTTCCCACATTCCTTAGATGTTTACATATTTTTTCATG